TTGATTGCTGCTTTTCGACTAGTGCTTTATTCTTTTTGTGTTAAAATAAGCTTTATAACCATTAAGTACATGCTTCTAGTTGATATCTACCTAATCGTAATCGGGTGCTTGCAACAATGGGAAAAAGTGTATGGTTTTTTTGGTGTAAAGTTAGACTCCTTCATTTTTCAGGTAAGTTATTTGTAGTTATTTTTTACTTAAAAGGATAGCAATACGTCCTGGTTCGGGGTGGACTTTTGAGTTTTAGCTATCTGAGCCAAATTGTCGGCTAAGTGTCCTCTTTTAGGGCACCCAGAACCGAAAACTATATAGGTATATAATATGTTTTTTTTTAAATTATTTTTTAATATGTATGCAGCTTGGATGAGGGCTTTAGGAAGAGATCCTAAGACTGAACACTGACTGCTATAAATGCCGTTTTTAGAGCACATTTCATAGTAAGTGATTTCATTCTAGCAGCAATGAGGAAACGTTTAAAAACATGCTGTACCAGCTATTACTTTAAGACCTCGTCTCTTTAAGTTATTATTACTTCATTCTAATGCATACATTAAAATGGTTTTTAACTTATGTCCTTATGATTAAAAGATGTAGGTATTTTAGTTATGTTATAATAGAAATATATGATACTTTGTATTGACTGACCTATTGGCCACTGGTCATTCCTCTTTTACTCCCTTTTTTCATAAATTATCAAACTATTTAAAAACAAATACATACCTAACTACTTGCTGTAAATTACATTAAAATTTTAGTGTTAATACTTTACTAATAAAACTTCAGTTAATTTATCTTATATATATACACAACGGAAGAGTTAATTGGATTTTCTCCTTGTTGAGTTTCAAAAATAGTAATTTAACATGATTTAAAAACAAATACATGAAATGGGCAAAATAGGCCTGCAAAGGCACTTTGCAAACAATCTCACTTGTATCGATGTGACGTAATGCGCGAATTCAATCTGGCTTACTTTTGTTAATAGATTGGCGTTCCATTTTAAATATACAGTTCACCGGGAATAGATTATTTAAATATACACGGACCGGGAAAACAAGTACGAAAAAAATTCACTGGCTCCTGGACTAGTACTGTATCAAAGGAATTTTTATGAATGAAACAATATACGACCCTCCACAATTGCGGTCTACTCTACTTCCGCTGTTGTCAGACCTTATTTTTTTTGGACAATTTAAAGACCTAACAGTAATTCAAGCAAACGCAATAACATTACTGCAGTTAAAAACATCGCAAACTTGGCATCAATATTTTAATTTTATCCAAATATTGCATTTCTGTCGAGGATCATCCGCGTTGACTTCAGAAATTGTGTAATCTGTATTGGTTATATATATCTATAGTTAAAAGCACGTAAACTTGGCATCAATGTTCAATCCGATTATTGGGTTTCTACCGCGGAAACCACCGTTCATTCTTCAAAAATTTTATAAATAATCCTATCTGTCTTGGTTATATATCTATGGATATTATTGTCCACCCTATTATTGGCAACAACGCGTACCGATACGATGTGTTGCATAGCGTAATCTTTACACTATGGGATCGCAAACAAATCTCTAGCTTTGGCTTTTCAAACATAGATGGCGTGAGAAGCGACAGCAGGTTAATAGTTTAACGGTTGCAAAAATTTATTCAAGAGTGTAAATATTTTGTGTTTTCTTCAAAATTTCTTAATCTTTTAAGTTAAAAATTGGTAAGTGTGTACTAGAAATGTTACTCTTTAAGATGTTATACTGCATTTTGCCCAAAATTGCATTTGAATAATTTATTTGGAGAAATTTTTGTGGTTATGTTTGGAATATGGGCCACTTATTTGATCTAAATATGGGCCTAGCCCATATTCGGACCACATTTAGTATCTAGTTTTAGGAAATTGCACTATTTTTTTTTTTTTCAGTTAAAAATGCCCCGAACAAGGTAAAAATACGTTTCAAGAAATATAAGGAAGCAGTGGGATACCGGAAATATGACGGGAGCAATAATTGCTGTTGAAGAACATTCGTTAACTTGTAGACAGGCAGCAAAAACATATTGTGTACCAAGAGCTACTTTACGAAAGTTTTTGAAAGTCGATGGAGATCCTGACCGCATAACTGTAACTACTCTTGGAAGAAAAACAGTTTTAGGTAAAGAATTGGAGGAGGAGCTTGTTGATTACATTCTCACAATGGAGGCAAAATTTTATGGTCTCACAAGACGAGACATTCGAATTATGGCGTACAAATTAGTTCAACAAAATGGTATGAAAAATCCCTTCAGGAATGAAATAACATGAAGAAGCTGGCTCGTTGGATTTCTACGTCGCCATAAGGAAACACTTTCTCTAAGAAAGCCAACTGATACTTCTTTTGCAAGAGGTCTTGGTTTTAATTCTGAAAACACATCACTATTTTTTGATAACCTGGAGCAGGAGTACAATAAATACAATTTTCCACCGCACAGAATATTTAATGTCGATTAGACAGGCCTATCAATAGTGCAAAGCTAGGTTCCTAATGTAATTGATCGAAAAGGTAAACGACAGATAGCTGCTATCACTTCAGCAGAACGAGGATCACTTGTGACATTTGTTTCCTGTATGAGCGCTGGAGGACAATTCGTACCACCATTGTTAATTTTTCCCAGGAAAAATAGAAATGACCAGTTGATCCGTGGAGCTCCCCCGGGAACAATTTATGACGTACATCCCAGTGGATAGGTTCAACAAAATCTCTTCACGAAGTGGTTTCATCATTTTATACAGTTTGTTAAACCGTCTCAAGATGACCCTGTTTTGTTAATATTGGATGGACATTATAGCCATACTCGCAATTTGGAAGTTATTAGCTTAGCCAGGGAAAATCAGATTTCAATAGTGTCACTACCATCTCATTCCACGCATAAATTACAACCCTTAGATAAAAGTTTTATGGGTCCGTTTAAGGTCTACTATAGCGAAGAAATAAGAAATTGGATTCGTGTTAATCAGCGTCCTGTTTCAGTTTTTGAAATAGCTGAGTTTTTGGAAAAGGCATTCCTTAAATCACAGACCGCACAAATTGCGATCAACGGTTTTCGAGTGACAGAAATTTATCACTTCAACAGATATATTTTTTGTGATGCTGGTTTTATTATTGAGCAAGCTGAAGCAGTTAAAAGATGCAGCAATTCTAAAGAAATATCTACCACAAGCAATACATCTAAAAATAACGAAAATCCTAAATCTGCTGACCCGGAAATTTTTTATAATGATCCCCAACTCGGACGCTCTAGAAATGTTGATGACCTTCCTGCATTTCCCGAAAATATGAATACACAACCTGGATGTTCCAAGAATTTCCCTGTCCCGACTTCTGGTCCGTCAAAATCACTCACGTTAGTGTCGCCTTTTGCGATTCTCCCAGTCCCTTCCATACAAAAGAAAGTAACTAATCGTAGAAAAAAGTCTTCTAAATCTGAAATTATAACGTCTTCTCTATACAAAAACGACTTAGAAATTTCTGTTGAAAAAATAAAAAAATATTGGTGAAAAGGGAAAACGGAATGTCTTTAGCAAAACTTTGGTCAAGGGTAAATCGAAATCCCAACCAAAACCTCAAAAACCGAAGAAGACTGGTAAATCGCCTAAGTTTGAGAGTGACGTGGATGAAATATTTATTCCTGATGATGAGGATAAAGATGTGGAAGAATTCGGAACTCTTCCTGAAAATGAAAATGCAACGTGCATTTATTGTGAAGGACTTTTCTCTGAAGATGTCAAGGGCGAGTTGTGGGTGTGCTGTTTGATGTGTCATATGTGGTCACACAGAACGCGGCGAATATATCTGTGATTTTTGCAAATAAGTTTTTTTATGTCACATTCTTTAGAAATAAATATTTTTTTTACGGTTTAAGAAGACTTTTTGTTACTTTTATAGGGTGGCTCATATTTCAAGCACTTAACACAAATCTTAAAAATTTATATGTTTATATGTTTATAACTATGAAGTTAATGCTTTTAGTAATTAATTTCCCAAGTTACAGGTTAATTAGTCGAAAAAAACTGAAAAATATTTTCAAAAATTAAAATGTGGCCCATATTCGGACCTTCCTCCTCTAATAATGACTGTATAGAAGATCCACAGGCAATTGTTCAAGTTTTTGCAGATCACTTTTCAAGCAATTTCTCCAAGCCAACTCAAATAAATCACTTCATCAACGAATTTATCATTAATTTACCTTTGCTTCACTTTAATTCTGTATCTGAAGATGAAGTTATTCGAACCCTAAAAAAGCTTCAGCCCAATATGTCAATGGGTACTGACCTTATTCCTTCGTTTTTATGTCAGAGACTATGCACTAATTTTGGCCACTCCGTTGAAACATATTTTTGATTTAATTTTGAAAACATGTATTTTTCCTACTGCCAGGAAAATTTCCAGAATGACTCCGGTACATAAAAAATGTAGCGACAATGATGTTTGTAATTATCGGCCCATAAGCATTCTTTGCAATTTTGCTAAAGTATTTGAAATAATTAGTCACGATCGTATTTCCAATCATGTTTCCCGTCTTATATTTTATGACCAACATGGATTCATCAGTAACAAATCTTGTATGTCCGACGCAATTTATTTCGGAAGCCTTGGATAGAATAAGTCAAGATTATGTAATATATACAGATTTCTCCAAGGCCTTCGACAAAATTGATCATTCCATCTTGCTCCCCAAGTTAAGTTCCATTGGTTTATACGATCAAATCATTAAATTGATGGTTCGTATTTGTTGGGTAGGCGTCAATATGTTCAATGTCAAAAAATTTTGAACAAACATCAGGAGTTCCACATAGAGGGTCAGATGTTAACTGCGTTAAAGCTGGTCGTTGTTAAGCATTGGCTTCTTATGAGCGTTTACTATCTTTATCTCCATTATATCTGGCACAAACGTTTAAAGGCCATTAATTTGTACTAATAAAATATTCTCAATGCATAAAAATTTAGAAAAAATGATTTCGTTTCAAGTTTGTTTTTCAACTTTAGGTAGCAAAATTGGAAAAAGATACATTCAAATAATATGGCTGTCCACTATTTTAATTACTATGTACCTCATGAGGATAAATATATCAGTGACAATAGTAGCAATGACAGATCCAAATCCTAGTAATAAAGATGTTCCTGTAAGTATAATTTAATTTTTTATCATGCTTAAATCAATTTCAGGGCCAGCGTGGAATATTTGTATTATTTTTTTGAAAAATACGTCAATCTAATAAAAAAATGTATTTATCGAAAACATTTTAATCAGAAAATCAGAATATCACTGTAGACCCTAGCTTTATAGGGCTTGACGTATACTGCCTTCGATCATGGTGGACTATATTGAAATTAGATTACCTGGGGTGGAGGCCTTATGCTTCACCCTGTAGCCTCTGGAAGATATTCTTGAAGTTCTAGTTGAAGCACTGGGTGTATTAAAATAAAACCATCACCCTACATTTGAATTTGATATATTCACTGCTTGATACGTTCACATTTAACACATTTACAACTTTTTGTTATATATAAGTATTGATAAGTTACATATTAACTTTTTATAAAATCAAATCGCACATGCTTGGAATGGTTACCGTGAATGCCGGCTTTTTAGGTTAAAGTTTATGCGACTTGTTGCTTGTTCGACTGAAAAAGCGAAAATGATTTTAGTTTGTTCCGCCGTTGCTTGTCAACCCGCACCGGCTTTTTACCTTTCGTCTAATTGGCTCTCTTTAATCGTACACAAGACCATTGCTTTTAGGATCTGTCGTATGATTGGGTGAAATGTCTCGCGTGATTACTTTTAACTGTATTAGAGGCAGCAGGTGTCTTTGAAGGTTACTTGAAAGTTAAAAGGGTGGTTATTGCACAACTTTGGATAATTGGTTTATACAGGGAGTGTCTATTTAGTATTTTATTCTTTTTTATTTGTTAAGTGCGGAGGTTTATACAGGGAGTGTCTATTTAGTATTTTATTCATTTTTGTTTGCTAAATGCTGATTTAGATTAATCTGCCCTGCAGATAGAACATGTTGAATTTAATTTCAACAATCACCTTTAAATACCCAATAAATAAATTCAATCTCATTACAAAATTAAAAATAACTGCAACTTACATCAACATTAGTAGAATAAATGATAACAAGAAATTATCTAAGTCATGTGTCACAAAATAACTTCGGAAAACAACTACTTCTTTGGCTAGTACCTCATTAAACACACTAACTTTGATTTTGTTTACTAATGAAAAGGTTATTCTTGGAATGATTTCGTATTGAGGCTTATCAGCAAGAAATATACATTCTCGATTTCAATCTCTACTTCAAACATTGGTAGGTAATGAGACATTTAGGCTTAGGAACTTTTTTTCTTTAGAAGGTAATGGGATACTAGGGCTTGGAAACTTCTTTTTCCTCGACGATACAGAGAGCAATGAGAAAGTAATTAAACATCAGCTCTGGCCAATTTATCTGAAATCATAGTCATTAAGAAAAACATACACAATTGTAATTGTTTTAATAATATTCAAATTTTGCTAGCATGTAGCTGCATTTTTATGTTAGTAATATAATATAAAAAAATTCTATACAAGCTATATTTACAAAATATTTTTTCGTATTTAGATTATGAGGCATTCCTAAACTAAAATCAAAATACAATATTCTAGCTATATCAAAAAATTTCCAGAGGGGGCGTCCATCGTCAAAATTTATAATAGATAACAAAACTACGAAAGATACTAAATCTAATTTTTAATAACTCTTGTATTTTTTTTACATTTTCTGTTTGACTCACTGAAAGCATGTCCCACATACCCTGGTAATTTTTGAGATTTTGGAGTCCTCATGGGTATATCCAAAGGAAGTAAAAGGGGCACCAAAATTAAACTTAATGCTTAAATTCAACTACAAAACCTTCTATTTAAGAAAGTGACTTCTATGGTTAAGAACACAAATATTGTATGTCCATTTTTATCAAAAATGGGATAGGTAGGATTCTATATCCTTCATGATGAAACCTTTATGGTTTCCAAACATAGTACGTTCACCCTAATAGGTTTACCATTCAGTAAAGTAATGCTAATAAAAATTATACAGCTCGTCATAGTCTCCTTCAACTCTGGACATACAACGTTTGTGCCCTTAGCCATCGTACAAAATATCTCTTATCATCATTGGAAAATGTGACGTAGACAGCTTGAAATTGACACTTTGCAGACCTTTTTGTCATTTGTATTTAACGTTTTTAACACCAATGTCGGCTTAGACCTTAGGAGTAGAGCATATATAACATAACCATTCATTGTCCAGTTTAATATAAAGGTCAGTGGATTAAATGTGTTTTTGTTGTTTAACTGAGACTTAGAAGGATATGCCACAATTTCCGACTGCACTGTATGACTTTGACTAATACAGTTTTTTTAGGTATATAAATGGCCCGACAAAAGCTTGATCCTCTCAGGTTTCCTATGGGGTTACTTCGTGCCACAGCCGTTTGCAGGTTGGGCATCCACACGATTTGGAGGCAAGTGGTTCCTTGTAGGAGCTTTGGTGGCCAGTTCCATTTTGAACGCACTGGTACCCATTTGCGCAGCTTATTTTGGTTCTGTCGGAGTGTTGGTGGTTAGAATTTTCCTTGGAATCAGTCAGAGTCTTTTGTATCCGACTTTAAATAATATGTTGGGGAAATGGGGTCCCGTACAAGAGAGGAGTCGTTTAGGATGTTTAATATTTGCAGGTAAAGGAATGTTATTTCTGTTTTTCAATTGGGAAAGAAGTTGTGTGATGTCAACATTAAAATAATGTCACTATTTACCTAATTTTTAAGTATAAGATTTAACTTCAACTCAGGTTATCAGATCTTTTGTCAAATTGATTAATCAAACCTGCTCTAAGTTTCTTTATCCTATTGTTAAAATCAAAAGAGTGTTCTTTATTAAATTAGTAACTAAATAATAATTATTTAAAATATACAAGTATATTGAATGTATATTTAATTTATTATAAGTAATGATTTAACAATTCAAAATGACGATATAGGATTAACATATTAACATTGCTTCTTTTTTGCTTATATAAATTACAGTTTTAATACAAGTTCTTCTTCTTTGAAACCACTCAGATTAAAATCTAGTAATAAGTTACCTGTTATTTACATCATGGAATCTCTATTATGTTTCTTAAGTTGTATTTAATGTATTTAATAATTTTTTTTCTATTTTCTATCTAAAAGAAATTTAAAAATTATAATTATTTTAGGTAGTTCTCTCGGCATAGTACTATCAATGGTTATCAGTGGATACTTGTGTAGTACAAGGTACGGTTGGCCTATAGTTTTTTACATATTTAGCGCAATAGGGATAATCGTTGCTCTTTCTTATTCTTATATTGGGTGCAATTCACCTGCTCAACATAGTACTATCACGGTAGAAGAGAGATATTACATAGAAAGCAACCTGCCAAAAATTTCTTACACAGAGGTAAGTCGTATGTGGTATGTTAGGAAGTTAGTGTAACTTTGACGTCGTATTGGGTGATGTTTTGTAGGTTTTCTTTAGTATCCGCATAGATAGGTATATGTTTTAGTAGTGATGTCATAATTTGTTGATATATTTCTGGTGCTAAGGACAGTCCGAAGAGTAGGCGTGTGTCTGACAATATCTGGCTTCTGGAACCATAGACAATATCTGATATCCTTGGTGCTAATATTATATGCTCTTAGTACTAATAACATGGGAATCAATTATCAACAGCTTAACATGTAGTAGCCAAATTTTTATAACAACGTTTCGTTTTTAAAGGGCCTCAAAAATGTTTTGTTTTACTAGATTTTGACAATTAACTGTAGTTAAGACATTTTTGTAGCAGACTTAAGTCTCATTGTAACAAAATAATACTATTTGTTTTCCCTGTATTGTCATTGTAATTATTATAAATACGAGATAAATGTATATCATATACGAAAATAAAAAGTTATTATTGCACGTGTAACATTCCAAAAATTAAGTTACACGTGTAAGTAATTACATAATCTACTTCAATATGCAAACTTACAGTCTGTTCGCTATATTTACGCGGGTTTCGGATTAAAAATGTTATGAGTATTTACAGGTAAATACCCGAAAGTTTGACCTGTTCTTTGGGGAAATATCAACTGGTTAAATGAAATGAAAAATAATGTACAACTTTTTAATTAAATAATAATGGAGAATATTTTATATAATTGAGAGCAGAATTAAACTTCTTCATTACCGATTTTAAAGGACCGCCATTTTCTTTTTCATCCGTAAAATACTTATATACTCTACAAATTAGACTATCTACATCTAACACACGTCTAGGTATTTTTAAAGTTTCCATTAAATTTACAATATACATACAATGTCAACACTTGCAAAGAATCAATTCAATTGCAATATTTGTTACAAATTTAGTACCTACCCTAATGTTATTTTAATTTAAATCTGACCATTAGGGTAATTTTACCTAATTTCTTGGGAAAAGGCTTATTGGAACTGGTTGTCAATGACTAATTTGCATAATTTTGTTAATCTGAAACCCGCGTAAGTATAGCGAACAGACTGTAATTAGTCTGTTGTATACATTTTAAAATGTTCAATTATTTATGTCAATAATAGTTACAATTTTAGAAAATATGGAAACTCTAAAGTGAAAACAAACCAAAGCTGTGGGATATTCAACAAATAATAATCACTAAATTCCCAACAATTATTTATTATAACAACAACTAACTCGATTTAAAGTACAAACGAAACTGAAGTGGGAAAGCAAGCATTTAAAAATATTAAAATGTGTTTCCCGAAAAAACAATACAAAAAAGGGTTCTAAGAACACCTCGATACACTTCAATAACACAGTGGCGTAGCGATAATTTATTCCAATATATCACAAAAGCAAAATTGAAAAAGCTGAAAATTAAAGAAAAGAAAAATTAATACGTCAACCAGGGTTCGAACTTTTGAAAGCGTCTTTGCCTCTACCAGTTGAGTTATCAATGCACATGGCTTCAACAGTCGAACTTGTAGATTTACAGTCAAGTCAGATTCCGACTCTCATCGGCGATTTATACATGATAGAATGTCGCAAACTTTACATTTTAAATTTGTTTTTGATTTTATATATTTTAAGTCTTTTATCAGCGATTTCTCAATGTTCCAAATGCCATTTTTCAAAGATGGCGTCAAATATACACATTCCACCGTCTCATTTTTAATTATCACAACTCTCTTTTGCTTTCCTTTGATTTTATGATTATTCTTTAAGAGTCAGAACTCTGAGCAATTACTGAATTAATAGAATGTTTTCTTCTTATTCTTTTTCTAATCTTCTATTTCATATGGTCTCTACCTTTGACATATAAATCTGAAATTTGCTTGTGCTCTTACTGTGAAAATTATAAAAATCTAAAAACTAAAAAAAATTAAGTAATGTACAGGATGTTACGTTATTTTAGAAACTGGATACACCATGGAAGGACATTTTCACGTCACCATCATTTTGGGCTCTTTTTATTGCAGAGTGTGGAAACAATTTTGGACATTGGACTTTATTGTCTCAAATTCCAAGTTATCTAAACCATGTAATGAAGTTTGACATCAAATCGGTGAGTAAATCTAAAAAGAAAATATTTATTAGTAATAGATAAATAAATTATGTAAAATAGGGAAAATAAGTGACATTTTTGTAATATAAATATAAATAACCTCTCGACGTTTGATTCTATTGTTCTGCTTCACCCAGTATTATCAAAATTTAAACAATTTCTAGTTTTTAATATTTCCTAATGTCTGCCATTTTGTTTCTTTTATATTATTTAATCTACTATAAAACTTTATAGTTTCAGTTAAATAAGTATGTTTGCTTCTTTCTAAATCTTGTCTTCTATAAGTATTACTTATTTTTTTCTCTTCTTCTTCTTTTTCTTCACGTATGTAATTTCTTTTTGAGTAACTTACAATACCTTTGTTCATCAATATTCATTTATTATTTAAATAAATAAAAAAATCTAAAATTAAACTTCATTTAATCTTATAACCCTTAAGAAACCAACACTAACATTTTTGAAGTTTCCCTATTTACTTTCATACAATATAATATATTTTTTCAATACCTAAATTTTACTAATATTCTTTTTGTTTGTGTTCCTTTAGCTGAAATATAATAAAATTAATTAACACTGATATTTAACCGAATATTAAATAGTGCCAACGATAAGCTATAAAATGACATTTATATGGAAATTTCTATTTCATTAAATCAATGTCTTTCCATAATAAAACTATTAAATGTAGACAAAACTTTAAACACATATTTGCTTATGTACAAAGGGGATTATCATGAAATATATGCACACTTTATTTTTAGTATGGTGAATTGTCATCTCTGCCTTATCTACTCCAATGGATTATGGCCTATGTATACGGATTTTTAGCAGATTGGGTCATAACTAAGAAGGTGACCTCTATTACTTCTACGAGAAAAATTATGAATGCAATAGGTAACTATAGGTATTTATTATTAAAATCAATCAACCTTTTTTATTTCAGAAATATAGCAGCAATTTTTATAAAGATAGAAGATGTTGACGAATTAATATTTGATAATTCCCCGAGGGTATATAATGAATATCTCAAAAGTTCACTAAAATCTAAAACTTCCATTGATAAGAGTAAGAAAATAAATACTTATATAAAGAACAACTTGCAAAAAAAAAATTGTAAATACACTTCTTCGGATACTGATGAATCCTGCGAATTGCAAGAAGTGTATGAAGATGATGCTACATATAAAGACAAGACCATACAGATTAAGAGCAAGTTATTCGAAGAAATATATCCAACATCTAAATCTAAACTGAGGTAGAGCAAAAGAAAGAAACGAGAACCCAAAGTTGGAAGAAAAAGAAGTAAAAAAAGAGCAGAAAGCAGGTGCTACTGTCAAGAAACACGTACTGTATGAAGATAAACTAATGAGCCAAATAGGGGAGAGTGTTCCACAGTGAAACACTTTTTTAATTTTTTTTCTCGATTCTACATACAAAACCAGAATCCCACTTTCATCAAAAATTTTAATTAACACTCCATTTACCTTTATAATAAAATATCAAAATTAGATGCAAATGTGATTTGTTTTTTTTTGTAGAACAATTTAAAAAAAAAATGTATTTTGTTTCACTGTGGAACGCTAGTGAGATATAATGAAACGGCAGAAACAAACAATTAAAAATAGGTTTTTATTTTTTACAAACACAAAAATGAAAACACTGCAAATTAAAGTAAACTATTAACTCAATAGTAACTAGGTGTAACTGTTAAATTCATGTTTCATTAGCTTCACCAATATTGAAGTTCAAATAAATCAGATCCGTTTGTCTTTGTTTTGCCATGCTGATTAGGCTTTGATAAGATCATTTTGATATCGCTTTCAGGAACTACTGCAATGTCAGAAACTTTCGGTAAACAAATTTGTCGTCTATTTTTGAGTGCTTTCTATAAAATTGGACTTCAAAGTCTTGTTTTTTTATCGCAGGTGCCTTTCAAGACTACCGCAACGTAATAAACAATTTTTTTTATTTTTTCTGTTATTTTAATTTGCATCAATACAAAATCTCCAGCTTCTGGGGGGCGAACAAGATCTTCAAATCCATTTAGATTTACTTCAGGGATCCAGTTCTCCGTTTCTGAGCCAAGTGACATTACGTCTTCATTTTCTACTTTGTCCTCTGAGGATTCGACAAGTTTGCGCTTAGCATTTTCGACAGCTGTAACTGTAGGCTTTTTTCTATTTCTTTCCTTTTCCTCTATCATCAATTTTTCCGGAGTATCGGTCGCAATCATGCTTTTTCCCTTCCTTCTAGATATTTTACCCTTTCGTGCGGAAGCCTTAGGATAACCTCTGAATTGTTCAGGAGAAACGAATCCTACTTCTTTTTCTGTAGTAAGCAATGGATTTTCTGTAGCTTTATTACTTTCATTTACTTCACACTTATTTCATTGAGAAGTGGAAGCTTCGTTTCCATCTGCAGTGGGTCGATCTGTGACAGCTGAACTCAAAAAAACACTCTCATTGAACACATTTTTATCTAGCGGAAAGATTCCACTTCTTTTGAAACCTGTTTTTATATTACTTGGCGTCATTGAACGATCAAAAGCGGTTCCAACGCACTCTGAAATTTGGTAGATGGTCATGGGTGTTCCTGGATGATGCAAAAACGGCATTATAATGAGCTTTAAAGAATGAAAAAACACTTACATCTAGCGGTTGTAGCCTATGACTACAATGGGGCGGTAAAGTTAGAATTGTAATTCTGTTTTCTCGAGCTTTGTCCACAGTAGCTAGTAAAATATGACTTTCATGGTTATCCATGATTAAGAGCGTCGGTTTTTCTTTACTGGATAACGTAAATTTAATAAAGTAATCCAGAACTTGTGGAAATATTTTGGAACACATCCATCCTGAAGTGGTAGCTAGCCCAAGCCTACCATGAGGAGCTCCATTAATCATGTGTGTTTTATAATTTTTCCGCGGGAAAATGATGACTGGAGGCACTGCGGTACCGAAGGCATTAATAATACAGCATGTAGTTAAGTTTTGTCCTCTTTCCCCGCTTGTATATTTATTTACCTGCTTGATTCCTTTTCCAGCAATTATTTTTTTCGGATTCTGAACTGTGGTCGTTGAGGCTTCGTCTAAATTGTAAACCCTTGAACCATCAGAAAAATGTTCACTACGCGAATAAACAGTTTCCAACTTGTTGAAAAATGACTGTATATTGTGTGGATTAAATGATGTCATTCGTGATAGACTGCATCCCTCAGTTGAACGAATACCGATTCTAAGATGGCGCTTTCTCAAGCCTTTGAACCAATCCAAACCTGCCTCTTTATTTTTTACCCAGTGTTTAAGAATCTGTATTTTATTTTGTTTTGCCATATCGTGAGCTAATTTTCTGCATTCTGTTACCGTCAAACCAAAACCCATTTTTGATAGGTTTAAAACATAATGAACCAACTCCTTTTCTTGATCTATATTAAAAACCTGTCTGCAATTGTAGTTACGAGTAAGTCTAATTTTTTCAAGAGGATTTTCTCTTTGTCTTTTGGCATAACGAAAGAGGGTACCTAACATAAGCAACTCCTGTCATCTCAGACACCTTCCTTAATCTTAAACCTCCATTAACTGGATTTATAGCATTCTGCATTGTATCTGCAGATGTTAGACCCATTGCAGTCTTCTGTATTCTATTTCACGTTTTTTTCACTGTGGACCATATACATCCTCAAAGAAAAAAAAAACAAATTTTATAACAAAACAAAAAATATTTTAAAATATTTCAATTGCTACTTACATTGTCTAAGAATAGAACTTTCTCTTTCCCCAAAAATAACTAAGAAATTATAAAAACTAAACCGGTAATCGTCTCTTAAAATTTGAGCGTGGCGTTACTTTGGATCCTCTCTCTAAACTGAAATGCTGCCCTGAACAAACCGCGTCCTGTGCGATGATGCATTTTGTAGTGGGAGTTACAATACTGGTCAAACTATTATCTACGTCATGGCGGTGGCTATACGTCCATCGTTTTTTTTTTTAGTCGGAATGTTTTACTCCTCTAAGAAGAAGAAACAGGAGACGAAGATTAATAAGAAAGGCGTTGTTAAAGTAATAGAGGAAGAAACACCATCAACACGCGGTGAATGCGGCGCAGTAAATAAAGAATGGTGGCGATATAGATCATGTGCTACATATTTCCATGCAGAAGACCTTACATCATGTACTTATTGCGAGTGACCATGATTTAAAATTTCGGACAATATTTCCCCACTCGTGGTCGATATTTCCTATTAATAGTCAGCTACTGTCAACCCAGCAATCATTTTGAATTATTTTTTTTTTTAAATAATAAACAGCGAAAGCGCCAAGCGGACTTTTTAAAAAAGTTCGATTACCGAAACGACAATCATGCGAATATGCTATTGTCTAAGACTAGACGCTTTTGGTATTCGCAGGTGATATTCAATTTTGTCGGAAACTGTCATATTAATAAATCGTAAATTATGATTAGTCTGAATATTTAAGGTTAGGATTTGAATGTCCTTTTGACATTATTATAATTCATTAATCGTTATATATGAACGCGGTAGTTTAAAAGCAACTGGATAGGCTCAAAAAGCAAACTCTGTCTATTAACTTCAATTCCAAAATTATAAAGAATCGAAAAAAATAAACATAAGGTTTCTCACATTTTATATACAAGTCACAATATTTTGGTCCCTATTTTAATGTTTGACTACGTTTGATCTACGTCCACAAATCTTAGCTTTAAATGTTAAATCTTAAAGTGCGAACAGCAAAACGCTACCCATGTGTAACTTATTATGTTTTTTAAATAATAACAGCATAACAAGTAGAATATATCAACACTTTTGTGCTTTATACTTTTGTCAGTTGCTTTTTCGCGTTTCTAAAGAGACGCACTGACTGTTTTCAAAAACGCTGGTTAGATAGTAAACCCCCAGAATCAATCTTAAACCGACCATACATTTATATCCAGGGTTTAGTCATACATCACATCCTCTATCTTACCTATATCTAACAAGTATTCAACACTATTTACATTATATAAGAGGTGCTGCACTCACATCACTTATGCCAAACAAGGTCCGTTGTGCATCCTCCAAGGACATGTAGGAGCTGCCTCTTAGCTCTTCAAAAAGCCTGTTTTTATATTTTAATAGGTAAGACTTTTTTGTTATTGATTTGTTTCAGCTTTTTTGGGTCCGGCATTGGCTCTCATTCTAATAGGCAACAGCGATTCGAATTTAAAAATATACGTGCTGGTCATTCTGATGGTCGGAGTAAGCTGTATTAGCGCCGGAAAAAGTGGACATTTGATTAACTACGTAGATTTGTCTCCAAACCACGCGGGAACCATAATGGGCATAGCGAATGGTTCCTCCATTGGATTCGCTTCACTAGGAAATGTTATGGTACATTTTATTGTGACAAATGATGTAAGAAATATTTTATTTTTAATAATACCTATACATTCTCATTTCTTAGTTTCTCACTTTCTCATGTTCTCACTTTCTCACTTTCTTACTTTCTCAGTTTCTCAGTTTCTCAGTTTCTCAGTTTCTCAGTTTCTCACTTTCTCACTTTCTCACTTTCTCACTTTCTCACTTTCTCACTTTCTCACTTTCTCACTTTCTCACATTCTCACTTTCTCACTTTCTCACTTTCTCACTTTCTCACTTTCTCACTTTCTCACTTTCTAACTTTCTCACTTTCTCACTTTGTTAGGTATTTACGCGTTTTTTCCTTAATTTAGAATAATTGTTTTATGTTGATATTTCTCATAATTAATTGGATGCTAGTGACCCTTAATATTTTTATCAAAATAGTTTAATTTATTTCTTGCCAATATATTGGGAATCACTCGCGTCGGCGCACATCTGTGCGTTTATAAAGGACATTTTTGGATTTTTAATAGACAAGTACCGTATGAACCTCTGAAGTGTTCGCATTGAAAAATCAAAATTTTTGTTATTTTGTTCGTCGGTGTTCCGTTTTCCCAAGAAGAAAACGTGTGGGGCCCCCTTCAAGAATTCCAGAACGCAGACATACCACTAGGTGAGTCTCCTTAAAATATTGGCTTCTTTAGATTTTTTTTGTTATTTAAATTTAAATATTTAAACTACCACCTAAAAAGGAATTAAGGTTCTCTTGCAATCCAGAAACTGAGCTTTATCTAAGGGAAAAATCAACACACTTTCTCACTTTCTCACTTTCTCACTTTCTCACTTTCTCACTTTCTCACTTTCTCACTTTCTCACTTTCTCACTTTCTCACTTTCTCACTTTCTC